GGCGTTTTGAAGGTATTGAGTTTCGATGTAATAATACGTCTTACTCGTATATTATACATTGTATATTTTGTATATTTTGTATATTATATTATATTTTTATTGTAYTAGAATCGKACGTGGTTCTCTCGTCGGAAATTTAACGAACGGTTCGTATAAGTACCTACACAGTATTTTTGTTGTTGTTATTATTTTTATATACACCTGCACCGGATATAATAATATTGTTATATCGGTCTACAGAGAAATAGCTTCGTTTTGTTTCTATCTACTAGGTTTCAGGTATACCTTACTTTAAGGTTTGGTGTAGTACTCAATTTCGTATATTATATGGGATTGGCTTTTAGGTGATTTTCTCCCATGCCATAAGACGTGAGCTACGTGGAATRTGTTAAATAAATTTATTTCCATTCTATTTCAAAACGAAATAACAATGCGCTRGTCTTTTGACCAGTTATCGTTTAGCAACCTAACCTAACCATGCAGGTGTGAGTTTCAAAAGGTTCGTTGGGTGTGTGACGTAAGTAGGGAAAGTCTAAGCAGGTCGGCACCATTAGTATTTTCAGTAATACTACGTGAAAATTGGGTGTTTTATTTTKTATAAATGATTTGTTTATTATGTATTTCATTCCGAATGGAAATTATTTATTATTATGCAATTTCATACCTGCGTAGGAGTCCTCCTATACTTGTATGGACTGTAATGWATCTACAAATTTCTCACCTCGCATGTCCATGTTTTTAGACACACCACGACCAGATATGTATTGTCTAATATAGTTACCTGCACTCAACATTGAGTAAATTTTAGAATCAAAAAGAAAAACTGGTCAAGCTACGTAGAACGGAAATGTAATTTCAAATTATAAAAGAATCAAAGTATTTTATCTTATATMATATTATTTACATCACAGTAATGCAATTGTGWGATCTTTTTAAATAGATTTATTTAATAATTATTATCGTTTGTAGTTGAGCAAAACATGCATTCGTAAACCATAGTATAGCCGTCAATTAAATAAGTATGGGTAAAATCATTTAACTGTAGAAAGTGATTTAATTAAAACAATGAAAGTATATTTTATTAGGTGACCACCATTTTTACATCTCACACAKTTTCATACGTGTGACATATTATTTTTTATTTTCTCTCTGCAGTTGCATAATATTTTTTTTATATCAGTATAGGTATTACTTTTTAATATGCGTTCAAACTCACTAATGCAGTCACCAAAACCGATAACTTCGATCGAAAAATTACATGTTTATTGTTTTCCTATTTGTTATAAGTCAACTAATCAACAAAAATAATTGAATACGTTTCAAGAAYGAAAATTATTAAGCGTAGAATTTAAAATAATAATACCCTCATAAAATTTCGGTGCAAAATATGACGGAAGGAGGTATAGAACCATGAAGCCCGTCGCCTAAAACTTGCAGCTGCAGGTTGGTTCACTGTGATCGAAATAATAAGAATAATAATTACGTATAGAAAGTTCAACAGCCGTTCATCCACCTTATAACGGCTGCTTGAAGACATTTTCCGCTATCAGTAGAACGCGGAGACTCGGGTAAACGCATATTATTATACCTACACGTAATGTTTTTCTCGCCACGAATTGGGCTTACACACATTAGGTAATGATATTATGTGCATGCGCATTTATATTGGTAACTTTTATCAGCGTTGAGCACACTCACCTCCGCACTCTTCGCGCACCCCACTCTTATAAATGCGGGTGAACTGCACTACCCAACTGGCTTGGTATAGTAAATACATATTATTATTATTAAGCGTCAAGTGTGTGTTCCATTTCATTTATCCCAAAAAGTGAAATGCACACACACACACACGCGCGCGCGCGCGATCGAATGCACGGTGTTTTGTCGTTGACTCAAAAATGATTATATGTATAGGTAACCTTTTTTATGTGTTATAAACTATGCTGGTTTTGATAATAATAATAATAATACGCTAGAATGATAACCGATTAGATTTAATATCTTGCACTAAAATGGTATTTTGGTATTTTATTCACACGTGAACGCGTTATAAATGAACTTCACGAGTCCGATGATACACTATAATATCATTAGGACGTCATCATTTAAAAGAGAAATTTATTATACACAATTTTCACTTACATTAGTTTGAAACAAATTTTAATAACATTTACCAAGAATCCAACAATATCTCCAAAGATATAAATAATCAAGTGATG